ATTTACATGGCGATCTGGTAAGATAGATCGTGTCAGCTGACTCGGGTTTACGTACCAGTGCGTTTACGTTCTTCACTATTTCAGCTTAAGAGTTCGTAAATGCTTTTGTTCGCAGCACAACTTTCTCAATCGCGTAAAATTGCAAACACTCAATTTTTGGCCGCGATTGGTTGTGAGAAAGATCGTTCTCCGCACTCTGATTTAAAATCAGGTAAAACTTGACATTTAAGAACTATTTAAAATAACGATTAAACCAAAAGATAAATAACAAAACATATTGTATGCTTTTATTGAGGATTCTAGTATTAAAAAAAAATACATATTTCCTTATAATTGCAAAATTTACTCAGTGTACCTACTTTATTAAACAAAAATGCCACATCAACCTGCTTCGTCTAATGTTTGCATGCAACTAAATAAAATTTATTGTTCTTCTACCTTTTCTGTTGACGTTGTATACGTGTATAGCCCAAAACACAATAACACAGTGGCAGTGGCAGCGGCAGTTTTTCAAAATCAGCTGTTTTATTTTTTAAGTGTGGTGTCCAATGAAGCGACTCACAATCTCAGTATATCCAGTAAACAAACTTNCAATGACATGAGATAGCAAAGACCAAAGAATTGAATGACCTTTCTCCTCCGATTATAGGGCTCCCTGAGGGTAATTAAGAAGTGAAATATACCCTGGGATTCAGTAATTCAGCCTCATCTCAAGTCACTAAATTTGAGATTAACAATTAGTGACTATTTTTGTGACTTGAGACGATTTGGGTATTCAGAAGGAGAGAGTCACGAAAAAGTTCACCAAAAATGTGTGGTGAAAGCAAACACAGACAATCAACTGATAGTGTTTATGTATGCATTTCGCCCGCGCCGCTCAAAGAGTCGCAATGGCCGAGTGGTCAAAGCATTAGGCTGGCAGCCGAGAGGGTCCGGGTTCAAGTCCTCCTCGGCCGTAGAGGATTTTGTATTTTTTTTTTAATTAGTACCTTTTTATTTTTTTATTAGTTTTATTTTTTTTTTAAATTTTTAGATTTTAATGTTTTAAAAACAAACAAAAAATACATTTTTTTCAATACATTTGTATGATATTAAAGCATTTTAGTTTATTTCCTAATGAAATTGTTGTTAAACAAATTTCCTCTCTTCATTTTCGCTTTTTTTAATAAAATTGAAAGATATTATCTTTTCCTCCATATTTTTACTTTTGTGACCTGCTCTTAGCCAGCTGACAAATTAGTGACTTATTTTTGAGACTATAGACGTGAGACAGCGTACTGAATACCAAATAGTCTCAAAATCCAAGTTCACCACCAAAAGTCACTATTAGTGACTAGAGACCGCTTACTGAATGCCAGGGTTATTCACATGGAATTGGAGATAGGGTTGATAGATTTATTTTAAATAAATTGTGAATCTGCGAAAATATCTTTTCAGCAGATGAATATACTTTTTAACCTTTTTTCCGAAAATTTACATACAGGCTCGAAAATATGCGAGTAACATTACGTTTGTATAGTAACTTCTCCAGTAAAACATTGCAGCGAGAGCGTAAAAGCAAAATAGAGCGTAAAATTGAGAAGAAGAGAAAACTAGCAGAATAGGTTATTGAACACAAAACTAGCAAAAACTTGCAAGAGAACAGTTGTTGCACTGCTTTGACAATCTGCTGTAAACATTTTACTATTTATAAATCAGTTTTAAACTCTTTGCTTTACACACAAGCACTTACACTGTCCAGTACATCATTAATATTATGATTTCCACTCATTTTACTTTTGTTTGTGCCAAGGCGATTCAATATAAGGTGATAGCAGGAGTACAAAAACAAAAATTTACATGTATTTTGTTTTTGCTTTGGCGGCATAAACTGTCAAAACCTGTAAGTGTGTGTAGAAATTCAAACAAAATTTTTCAATTTGATATCAGAAGCCGTGCGGCGAAACACATACACAAAATCAACTGAGCTAGTAACACCACTTTTTATATATTCTTTTGACATTTATTCTTCTTCTTCTTCTGCTAGCTAATTTCTGCTAGTAAAAATTTCACTAGCAAGAATTTGCAGCTCTCTCGTGTTGTTACGCTCTCGATTCAGTGCTCTCTTGCGAATTTTTTGGGTTATCATACACTTTTCCAGTAAAGTTTGCAGGTTCCAGTACAAATTAGTACTGACTATTGGTAACTATACAAACCTATTCAAATATCGTCGCCTGGATGGAAAATTGCCGGAAGCGTCATTTTGACAATTTGTGGTTTTTGGATATCTTCTTTAGTTTCCGACTAATTGACTAAAATTTTTTCGCTTATTTGGTACAAATTGCGTTAATATTGCTGTCGTACTAAACTAATCAAGATCTTTCAAATAGAGTTATCTGTTCTTCTTTAGTTTCCGACATATTCAGCTTTATCATGAGTTTCATTTTCTAGAACCGGGTCACTTTTCGTTTGCGTGTGTTCACTACAGGTGGGTGAAAAAATTGTTGGCGAAATTTTGTTCGGGCGAAACTCACGATTAGGCTGATTAGTAAAAAGTATGGTTAATTTATAAAAATTGTTATCACATTTTGGCGTATATCACTAAAACTGACTGCAAATTTTTTGACAAATGTCGTATACGACAAAATTTTATTAAACTCATAAATGGTTGACACTAAACTAAAAAAATAAGATAATTTAAGAATTTCATGAACTAGTACATAGCATTCTCCGACACTTTGGAGAAAATCTGTAGTCGTGTTTCTGAGAAATTGCATTCCAAACTTCAATCGTGAGTTACCGAAAGTAACTTGTGACAATCTTTTATCCATACATAAATTATAATTGTCATTATTTTCGCAGTTGGAGTATATGCCAGACGAGTAACAGGTATATACATACAAGGATACCTAAATTAGCGCGTTGAACTTGTATATTTATCTCTCTCCAACGCATTAATTCTATATACGTAGGTACCAACGCCTGACAAAGTTATGTCTAAATTTAATAATGGCTCTATGACAAAATATTCATGGAATGTATTCGTAGATTTTTATTTACTTCATTTCATACATTAGCATTGATGTTTTGTTTTTCATACATTAGTATTGATGTTTTTTACTAAATACCAGGAATAAATATTTAATAAAAAACTATTTCATTTAAGCCTAACCAACTTTTAGTTGCTCGGAGCTAATTTTGGAACGCTTAACGAAATATTTTCATAGACAATAAATGCAACCCTGGGTGCATCATTAACGAGCAATTTCGCAGCTCTTCAAACATTTTCCACATTATGCTTTTAGGGCTAGTAGTTTCCGACCCCATTTGCTCGTTTTTTTTCAATTCTGAATTTAGGCTAGGCTTCATGGGAACTTACTGTGGGTGCAAACAGACCACATTTTGTAAACTGAATTGTGATATTTAATTTTATTTTATTATGAAAAATGAATTTAATGTGCAATTTTTTAAGTTTACTAGATGTAAGACAACTTTTAATTTTCTTTATATATTGCATGCTTTAGTTTTAATTCTGTTTAAGTTAAGTTGTAAAGGTGAAAATAGGCCTCCTGGGCAACCGAGCACATTAAAAAAAAAATCGGTAACGCGCGTAAAAGCATACCTCACAAGTGGTGTGGAAAATGCAAGAACAAATATAAATGGAATAATTTTCGAAATTATGAAATGGTTATTGGTATTTTCCATCTCAAAGGGGGTGATTAATTTGAACGTTATTTAAGCTGCCTTTACACGGTCGATTTTTGTCGTTTAACCAAAATCTACCCGTGTAAATTGCAATTCAACCGTAAAATGTAAGCGTTTTGGCTAGTCCATATCTTAAGTAAATTTTCCAGTCGACAGAAATCGACCCGTGAAAAGGCAACTTCAGGAATTTTTTAATTTTCTTTTTTTTTTTTGCTTGGGCGTCTTTTGAAGATGTGCCAAATTATATTGTCTACTTAAATACAAAACAACAATTTCTTTAAGCCATCTTGTGCAGCAATTTGTTGATCTTATCCTCACGGCTACCGAAATCACCAACCTCAACGTAGTGATTAGCCTTCTTGCGCCAGCCTCGGGTTGATGTGTTGAGCTTGAATAGCAACAGGAAGTTGGGGGCTTTCTTGAAGTGAATCAACGCACTGAATTTCGTGCGCTTCGCGAAATTTGCGTTCGATCACAAAGCAGAGATTGGGACACGCTTGACCATTCCACGTTTGTACATCAATTCACAAACTGATTTAAGATTTGGATAACCCCATATAGGGGGTTCGGCATAAGTAGCATTAATTGGTTGCCTTGCTCAATTTGACGAACACACCGTTTTAATGTGGCGAAGACAGAACTGTAAAACTACGCACTTTTTGTGCAACTTTGTTGATACCGCGGATGCGGATCACAAAAGCCAATTTGGATTTTTCAGGCCCGTCGAATTGGCCGCATTTCTTTGCCACACAGCGTTACTCCATCTCACGGCGTCCATCACGGAGTTTTCCTGTTTGATATTTCTCAGCATGCACCAAGTTTTCACATTTACGGAGTGCAATCACAGCAGAGCGCTTTAGTTTACGTTTGATCAGGGTAGCAATTTGCTGACCTGCTCTTGCTGAGCTGCAGCTTCGGCTCGGGGACAGGAGGCAGCTTCCTGGAAGGTTGTCTGCCCTTTGCTTGCGGTTTCTTACCGGCCCATGATGGCAGTCATCTTAACTTGTTACTTAGCATGTTGAAAAGGCGAAAAAAAGTTCGCCAAATGTTTGGAGCACATCGTAAATGAGCCACTCGATTTATAACATTTCTATAAACAATTTAATTAAATACTTTTTATACATAGATATGCTGCAACCATGCACTTACTTTCCCAAATTCCATCCTGTTTATCGGCATAATTTTCCAAATATGCATGCTACTTCATTACTAATTACTAAATTTTCCAACTGCGCCTTCTTTGTTGGCTCGACATATCCTAAAAAGACAAATTTACATTAAACAATAGAAATCGCAAAAATTAGCAAATAAAATACTCGCTTTGTTTTGTTTTGTTGTCAAATTCCTGAGAAATGTGAATTCACCACGATGCGATACAGAAAGAACAAGGACCAGGGATGTAATTTTAAGTAAATCTATTATTCAGTGGCAAGGCGCAGAGCGTTCGGGGCAGCAATATTAATTTGTATCAAATATAACATTAAACAGTGGTTCTAATACATTTTTTGATATTATTAACCAGAG